AGAGAGAGAGAGAGGAGAGAGAGAGAGACAGAGAGAGAGACAGAGAGAGAGAGAGAGATCAAAGAGAAAGAGAGAGAGGTGGGTGGGCGAGGGGTATCTATTGCCACGGCCTGTTTATCTCAACAGAGACTTTACTTTACCAAAAAATTCACTATCGTTAAACAAAGTGACTGTTAAGGCTTCAATGTAATTGATGAGTGGCATATTTTGAATCCATAAAATATATCAATTTATCATCGTTTAAACTACTTTAATTTAATTCGAGAGTATGAGAGGCAGGTTGTTCATGGTTTTCACGCATTGTCTTTTTAAATAAAACCTAATTTTGCGTAATTTTATTTTTGGCATGCCAAGGGTGTGGTATCTCATATGATTTTTTTTAGCAGCGATTCAAATGGCTTTCCTATTTGGCATATCATCACCAAAGGATATTAGGGTCTAAAAATATCCACGCCTTCGCTATTGGCTCAATGGGGAGCGCAAAACAGAAGTGACGTCAGGAGAAGTTTACCATGCTCGTAGGGATATCCAAGAAATTCTTCCAAACTATTTTTTAATTGCTAATCAATTTATGACCAGATTCTTTTCACAACGAATACAGAGTTATTAAAACATGATATACTAGTGTACCATGAGTTTTTTAGGAAGATGAATAAAAACTTGTCCAAAGGGATGGACTTCTTTGCGTAGTGTAAACAACCTATCCTTTCGAGCGCACATAGTGTTCCTTGCCTGTATCCCCCTTGATGATAGCCAGACATGTCGAAGTGGTAAACTTATTGGCTCAAATCGAGCCTAATTTCGGGGGTTTATGGATTATTGTTGCTATCTTTCATTCTTAGGAACTTGGGGGCTGTTCATTAATGATTTGTAGGAGCAAAGTAACGGACATTTCATATTCTACAAGTGATGGTAAGTATGTCAATGATATCTACCAGACGGTTGTTTCCATACATCAGCCAACATTGCTAGAGCTGGGATAGGTCAGGGCCACACGCACACACACACAACTGCTGTTGTTTTTCTGGTGAGATCCGTGTACATGTAGATCGAACTGTTTGCCTTGTCTTTAGTCACCTCCAAAGTACTTAATTATGTCTAGTCTGTATGGCTATGCAAATGCTCGTTTTTTAACATATTTGCAGTTCAAAATGAACATCTTCAAAAGCTTCCCTGTGAAGGGTCAATGAATGAAAGATCGCTTCGGTCGGCTTCATCATAGGGTCCATGAGATCGCTTGAATATCATGAAGTGTGAATCGAGGAATTAAAGACTGTCTTAACGATAGATAGATATAGCTTTACTTCAATAAACTCACTACCATTTTGAAAGATCAAGAAGACAGGGTAGGCTTTATAGGCTACTGAGATCTCTACTCCAATTCAATAAAGTATAGAGGGCCTACTAGATCTAGATCTAGATCTAGATATTCTAGTTACTAGATTCTAGATCTAGATCTAGATATCTAGATCTAGATATCTAGGCCTAAAGACTTTAAGACTGCCACTCTTGCCGCTAGGCCGCTAGGCTCTCACTCTTGGTCTGGGGATGTAGATTCTAGAATCTAGAAATCTAGATTTAGATCTAGATCTGGAACAAGTTAGCCTAGGATCTGCGAACTCGAGCTAACATTGACTTATTCATACATTGACTTACGTTTAAGTTAACATTCCTACTTACAATGTTCAGAAGATGCAAAATGATAGGAATTCAGTTTTGGAAAAAACAATCATTGATTTGATTTTAGCCCTATCCGTAAGCCCTGTGGTCATTTTGTACCCCCCAGGGTTGTATTCTTCACAATTTGAAATATCTCGATTTAGTATAGATCTAGATAGATCTAGATCTAGATCTAGTACGAAGATCTCTTTGAAACTTTAAGTATTTCTCAAAAACTTTTGACAGACTGCTATACTAATATTACTATGCAAGGCGTACGGATCGGATTAACGAGTAGCCTGGAAAGTAGTGGCACAGAGTTCCCCATGTCGTATGGAACCGATAGTTAAACAAGTACATACGGATAGGTGTTAAAACAAAAACATGG